GCAAAGAGATATGATTTTATTTCTTATGCTTAGTTTCTTATAAGTCTATGATTCAGATAGATTTGATATAGATGATGTCTTCGTGTATAGTATACTCCTCATTTTAAAGAGAGTATAGATAGAATGTTTGATAAACCATTGAAATGATTGATAAACCTGATAGCAATAACACAAAAGGCAAAGAATAGATATGAAGAATTGTGGACAAAAGTGAAATTCTTGCAATGTAAAAAAATAATAATTTATAAGCTTTAAATGAAAACTAATTGTATTAAACATAAGGCATTTATGTTCACAAATTAATAATTTCAGAACACTTAAATTCCGAATACTTAATAAAGCAGATATTAGTATTTTCAGGTTACCAGTCACTGAAACAAGTTTACTGAAAAGGAAATCACTCTTTAACAGCAGTAATCATGCATTATATTAAATATATTAAAGACTCAAATATTTAGTTTCCATTTAAATCTTAGTAAATAATGGCTGCATTTAAATCTTAGTTTCATTTTGTTATATGCTATTATAGCTTAATACATTAATGGCCACAAGTTTCTTAATTATCTACAAGCGCTTAGTCATACATTTGTGGGTGGATTCAACTTGGAACAGTTTCCTTATGCGCATTTATTATATATTATATTTATTGTATATTGAAGGAGAATTATAAAACTCAGTTTTGTAAAATTATTGTTTGTTAATCGTTTCGTCTGTTAAAAGGCGAAATATTTGAAGGGAATTGTATCAGTGTAGTAAATAACACTTTTCTGAACAATTTTATTGAAGAACGTTACACATATACGGAAACTTCTAAGTTAAACCCTTTTTTGTTACATATTTAGAAAAACTTGTGGCACTCTTTGTCACTTTTAATTTCAAACGTGACACCGGTGGGAATCACGCTTGGAATGTTCTTGGTATTCAAAGTATTAGTATTAATTTAATCTAAGAAAATTAAATTCTAAGCAAATAACAATGTAAATGGAAGAAAATAATTTAATACAGATATTGGCAATTCGATTAGTTACCAATATTTATACTAAAATAAATTCAGAAAGTGCCATAAATCACATTTAGATAAATCAACATAAATTCTTGTTTCTGAATTCAAGTTACATTTAACGAAATACATACATTAAAAATAAACAAAGACAAATAAACAGATCAAATATTAATTTACAAAATGCAAATACAATAAATAGGTGCATTATTAAGCAAGGAATTTACACACATCACAGCACGCACATTTAATCAATATGAATTTTATCTCTTAAAGGTCACTACTTAGTCGTTTAAATCACTGAGACATTAACAAACAGCTAAATATAAAAGGTCTGATTCGCCAATGCAAAAATTCGATTAATTATCAAGAAATGCTAAAGCAATTTAGTAATTTCATCAGACATAATTTAAGTCCATTTAACAAGTTAACATGAAACTTTCATTATATACATTAAACGGGTATAATGTAAACATTCAACAATTTAACATCAACATGAAGCTTCAACTTAAAATAATTCGACATCAGAAGCCATTATTTACAGTTATGTGGAAAGCATGGTCAAAACGCATCACGCTGCATTAATGAGGTGCTGAAATTCAAATCCTGCTTTCCCTTTGAAACGCAAACAGCAAATATGTTTCGAGATAATCTAAACTTTGTGCTTGATTTCGGGATTAATCCCGAAATCAAGCACATAGCTTAAGAATTATTTAAGTGTACACGTTTTACAAAACAGAATCCACTTCTAGAGTCATCACATAAAAATATTATGCTTTGTATTTCTAATTGCTCCTCAGTAAATTTTTATTTGCATTGTGAAAATAACTCCGGAGTATAAAAAGCATAATGTAATACATGATTTTAACACGAAAAATAATTTCGAGCTACGTTCGTAATATAATGATCAATTAAAGAGCTTTTGCTTCAGATTACCGATATGTTTCATGGAAAAATAAAATTATAAAAAATACTCGTGGATTAAAAATCAACAAAGAAATGAAGAATGCATAGGAAAAAAACGGAAGACAAAGATATCTTTCTCGGTATTCTTTCTTCACAGTCTATAAACTCTGTCACGCATCCTAGACATGTTTATAGTTAGGGAGAATAAGCTATGTCTGCAGTAATCTTGAAGAAATATTTGCTTATAGCTTTAAAAATGATATTTTTGCGCTTTATATACATGTGTAACATGATATATAAGACACGATGGTTGGGTTCCTAAATATGTCGTGTTATATATGAAACTGCAGAATTAAAGGAAACAGCCCAGAAAGGGAATAAATTGCACTGAACTCGGTGGTATCGTGTAAACATGCTTGTAAATAATAACCCAATAGATTTACACAAAACATATCGGGATTGGTATCGCTAGATACGTTTGCAAACTAATATTCTTTTGCTCGTTTTATAAATGAAGTTCGTCCTTTATATTTTGTATGATTTATGAGGTGTTTCTAGCAGATATTGCAGGAAATTAACAAACTTCACTGAGTTATTCTTGAATTTTCAAAGTAATCTTTCTAGTCCGTAAGATTTGATGCTGATTTGTATTCCACAAAAAAGGTTTCGTAAAAAGAGGAATATTTCTTTATATATATTAGGGTTTAAGTTCTAAAACTGGAAGTGCTATTAAGCCCTATGACGGACCACAGTAAAGAGGGAAAAATATGTATCATAGCCTTAGCTAAGATTTTCAGCGCCCAAGGATAAATGAAGATTTCGCTCTCACTCCTATTTGCCAAGAACGAAAACATTTCGTTCTAAAATTTTGAAACATTAATTTGGTGCCCCCTATATGCTGTGTCCTGGCATAGATGTCTCTTTCTGCCTATTCATAGCTACGCTAATGATGTATTATGTATAAAAATTAATAAATTAAGTAAAATGTAAAGAGATAAATGCAAAATTAATAAATTAATTTAGATTAATGACAGATATTTAAAAAATAAAATAAAACACCCAAACTCATCTTATGTGGGGTTTTGGTCGATTTGGTCACTAAAAAACTGAGAAGTAAGGGAGTTAGGCTCTAATGACTGAATTTGAGCGTAGATGTGTAGATTTTTGCTACATTCGTAGAAAATTTTATTTAGATATTTCTGAGGGACTTGTCTGAGGGATAATCTTTGATTATGTTAAGCTGAAATCTGAAGCATCAGGCTATAAATGTTTATTATTTTTATGGAGCTCTCATCAATCCATGCAATGCAAACTTACAAAAACATAAATAACATACAGCGAGAAAACTCATGATTTTCCTTTTCTTTTTTCTGTATGTTCCAAAATACAAAGAATGACAAAATTTTACGTTTGTTACAGCTGCTCTTTAAGGTCATCCAAAATTAATAGTTTTTAAATTAAATAAAATGACCTTTCACAGGTGCGTTTTCACTTTCATCAAGTATATTTAAATTATTGGAAAACACCAATTTGTTTCTTAAAATTTCTTTAAAAAAAGGTTCAAAATCTATATACTAAAAAGTTTCAAATTACACATAAAATAAAACCCAAAAAGAATAAAATTTACCACTTAAAGTATTGAAATATGTTAAATAGTTTAACTCTGTTATAGAACAATTTAGCCTAGAGCTTTATATTTATATGGAATTTTTCCAATTCTTTAATCACCTTTAAATGAAGCCTTTAAAGGAAATCCGCGTTTTGTATGGAATGCCTGTACCGAAGTTTAGTTGGGAGCTAGAGATCAAATATTTTAAAGAGATAATCTGGCTACAAATTACCATTCAGCATCGTTCAAGAAAGTATTCGTCTCATAATGCCGATATATACCAAAGATCCATTACATTATGACCAGCCCTTCCCTAGAGCAATGAGCTAACCAGGAGAAAAAAACTACGCAACACTCATTGCTAATGCTGGAGTACATAAAGCGCCTGTGTACAGTTTATATACAAGGTACAATGCGCCATTATGGAGAAAAAGCAGCTGACTTATCAAATTTTAATAAAGGTCGAAATTTTATGGCTTGGTGCCTAAAAAAGGTCGAATTTTTATGGCTTGGTGAATTTAAAAAACGACGCATTTGGTGGACTGCTTACAGGCAGCCATTGTGAGTACTTATTGAAAGTGGTGCATGGATGTTGAAACGAAAGTCGCAGATCAGCAGTTTGTCGGTCGGCCACGTCACATTCATTCCAGAGGAATGCAGATACTGTTATGCATTGCTTGCTATGACTGGAGGGCTGTAAAGGTCGAAATCACCAGCAGTTACAGCAGTGGTAAACCAGATATTGTGTCTCCACCCGCAGTGCAGCATACGCAGAGTGTTACTGCCCTGTGCTGACATCATGTCATCGCCAGCAGCACCTACAATGGGCCTAGGAATGTGGAAATTGAACCATAAAAGGATGGAAGAAAGTTACCTGGTTCGACAAATCATGGTTTCTGGTCAATCACGTTAGCAGACCAGTGCAAATACGCCGATTCTCAAAGGAAATCTTAGCACATGCTGTACAGTTGGCTGGAGACAAGGCGGTAATAGCAGTATTATGGTAGGGACTATGTTTTCATGGGGCACATTAAGACCCATCATTCTCATAGAGGGTGCAAGGATTATGCTAATTTTATTAACAGTTAAATTTTAAGTTAAAGTTCCTTTCCTGTCAGATTCTTAACTTCAACTTACTACTTCTGGCCAGAACGTAGTTTTGGAATCTTGCTGAATATTTAATGAGGAGGAGCGGTATTTAAACCACGAAGTTACTTACAGAGTCAGAGAGAATCAGAGTTTCTGATTTACGCGCGTCTGCCTTTTTGGCCACTCTCTCTCTCAAAGCTGTTATTACGCTCGGCCGTACCTTTGCTAAGCTTCGTAATCAAAGAAGTTAAGGGGCCAACTCGATTTGAATCTTGATAGCTTCGACTATATTTCTTTAGTTAATCTTAGTTTTAGTTTAATTCTTAGTCTCTTAAGTTCAAGCCCAAGTGAGGGCTTTGTTTGTACACTCCCAGGCGGAGTTTTGTTAAATCTTATTGGAATAATAAAGGGTTAGTTACCTTCTATCTTGTTGTTTCTTGTCACCCGAACTTGAGCGACTATTCGCTTATCAGTTCTTAAAAGAGTCTTCACTTCCAACATTAACTTAGAATTACAAAGGGAAGAACTCTACAAGGGAACGGCTGTGCACTATGTGAGCGTTAACACCTGTGCTCTATGTGAACATCATTGCAGACCAGGTGCACCCCTTAATGGCAACAGTGTTCCCAGCAGGCTATGACGTCTACTAACAAGACAATACACCTGTCATAAGGGCCTAGTTGTCAGGAAGTGGTGCGTAAAGCATTCTGGCGAATTTCAAGTCATGTCTTGTCTTCCGAATTCACCTGACATGAATCTAATCCAATATTATGGTTCTACGTAGAAAAGCGAATTTGCGCTGCGACACTACCACCTCGCAGTGTGCGGGAATTGTAGGACCAGTTAGGGAGTGCCTGGTACCAGATACCTCAGGCTACCTATCAGCACTTTCCTGAGTCAATGCTTCGCTGGTTGTTGGCAGTTTTAAGAACGAAAGGTGGTCATAATATAATGGTTCTTCAGTGTGGTACAGCTTAATTTTTCACTTTATGTATCATATATATAAAGCAATTGAATTTATTAAAATCTTAAACATTTTAAAAGCTTTCAGTTCATCTGTGTTTTGATGATCAAAGATTCCTAATTCAAAATGGAAAGAACTAAGAAAGAGCTTAGAAATAGCTCTGTTATGTTAATTTCTCAAAATCACAAAGAACTTTAAAATTACTTAATTATCACATTGTAATACGTGATTCAAACTAATTTCAGTCTATATAGATTTATCAGAAATTGGTTATTAACCTTTTTACTATGCAATTACTCCATCAGAAGAGTGTAGAACGGTACCCCTCTTTTCACTACTCTTGGACTTTTCACTACTGTTGGAATATTTGACTTTTATTTTTAAGGTCAACTAAATGTATTGATTTATGCCAAGAAAGTTAGTGCTGTTATTATTTTTTATTTAAATCAAAGGAGTTCATGTAAGATATTTTTTTTACTTACGCCAGAAATGAATTATCATCTTTGTTGTCAGACTGATCTTACTGTTACGGAAAGTATATTTAGTAGTTGTAATATTTAGTAAATCTACATATTGAAACTGAGGGGAATTATGTCTATTCTATGAATGTCTCCTTTCAAAAGAATGTTGGAAAAAATTATTCCACAAATAATTCTTATTTTCAGAACTGTTATATCGAAGCATAAATAAGCAAATGCTAACTGGATAATTTGCTTTCTGTTTCTCTTTCTTCAAGGCCCCAACCAGTGGCCAGTGTTAAAGACCACTGAAAGCTGGGTGTGCGCCCTAGGTGCGAATCCAGGTAAATAAGCTGGTAGCATGGTTAATTTCGCGGTTTCCTCCATGCGTAATGTAAATTCGAACCATTTTCCTAAAGAAAATCCTCCACAAAAGCTATCCGTCCTCTTAGTCAGATAGGTTTCGTGTGCTTTCCCGTGTGCAGATAGCCCAACCTTATTTAACTTTATCTATCGTTCCAGGAAAAGAATGACCTTCTTACGTCTTGTGCGTTTCAAGACAGTTTAAAGAAAACACATATAAAGCTGCTTAAATCAGAATTTGTAGAATAGATATTTCTCAGTGTTTAGTAACAATCAAAAAAATTGATTATACATTAACTATACATAAAAGCATACCAAGCACATCTTAAAAGATTTGGAAAGAATATCATTAGCTCGGAAGAGCAGCTTTTTTTAAAATTAGAGACATTCTACGTGTATTCATCGATATTAAACTATAAGTTTCACGATATGAAATTTGAAAGATAAGCTCATGTGTATCCCGAAAGATAAAATTTTTGTTTGTGTAAAAATATTTTTCTTTTCAGAATCACAGAAAATACACTGGAACTGGAATGTGGAGATGATATGATAAACAAAAATTGTCGCGATATAAATCACATCCACTTCATGAAAGTAAATTGGATAATATATCTCTGTCTGCAAAGTAAGATATTTAAGCACTTTTACAAAAATATTTCATGTTAGAGGATAAAGCACAAAATACGTGAAAGACATCGTTGAGTTCTAAAATGTGCGAGAGTATCGCAAATGCACATCTGCAAATTTAAGCCTAGACTAGATGCTATTTTTTGCATAACAAAGTTAGTGAAAGCTTGGTGCACAATTTATAAAGTTCATCAGCATAGCAACAGTTAATATATATTTTTAATAAATTAAAAATTTCTTTATATTTAGCTATAACTATCATAGCTCTTAATATACATAGCGTTTCTATCAGTTTTAAGAGTTTTCAAAACACACAAAATTACTATTTCAACCGACATCAGTAAGAGCTGTTCTTAGCAATAATCTAATTGAAACGTAATTAACCATCATTCCTTGTATTTTAAAAATGAAGTAAACGTTATGAAAACTTTTATTCAATCTTACGAGATAAGTGAACTACGATTATTAAATATTTCTGATGCAATCAACAGCTCAAATTTATAATTCAGTTATAAAATTGGACCCGAAATTCGGATATAAAATATGAGTTTAATACTTGCATCACGGCCAGAAGTCTTGCTATTAGATTAAAAATAGTTTCCTGTTTATTTAGAATTATTTAAAATTTTTTCCATCTTATTCCTCTTCCCAATTCCTTCAAGACAAAGCCACAAATCCTCACACTTGTATCCATGAATATATAATTGTTTTATTTATTATCGTTTAGCACGTTTCTTGGACAGCAATACAAACCTATTTCTCTTCGATATTTGGTAGAATACCAAATTAATTAAGTTACGACAGTTTCAGCGTTATCCATTATTTTACTGTCAGGTTCTCCCATCGTGCAATCACCCAAAGCAAACATCACTTGTAATTCTGAAAGAATGATAAATAAATATATAAATCAAATGTGCTCATATCTGAAAGCGAAGCGAAAATTATCCAGCAGACGAGAAGAGAGAATTGGGAATAAGTGAACCAATTTAGTAATATTTCCCTTTCTCATTCAATATTTTGATAACTTAATGGGTATTAATTGTATTAATTGTTTAAGAGATATGTAAACTCTCATCTTTGGATATCTTTCATTGACCATTAGTCCCTCTCCTCCCACCCCCAAAATCTCATACAGCAAGTATTGTCTTTTTTGTTTTTAAATTCTAGCCATTAAATAACAAAATATTTTGAATTTAAGTTTCGTCCATCATTATCACTTCCATCATTGTAATGATCAAGTACTTATCTTTTCCCTACTAGGAAAAAAAACCAGAAATGCTTTTAAAATGCCATTCATCTATGGCATTAGGTGAAATTTGTTAGGAAATCCTCAGTCTGCTGTAACAATTTACTTAAAAAATTTAATTTGTGTGCAATAATTTATATTTAAAGAAATCTTCATTATATATAATATAGCGTTTCCTGTCTTACTAGCATCAGGTCAGTAAAGCTTTCTGTAACCTTCATGCAAGACAATAAGTGCCCATTGAATGGCTTAAAAAGAAATATTTTCAAAGCGAGCATGTGGAAAATGCATTTAATTTAACGTTATTCATTAACTATCTCCTAATTTTCAGTAGGAATTCATTCGCCATTTGAATAATTATAAAAAATTTTGAATTCACGAAAGAGCTTATTCACCATTATGTCTCGTTGAAAATTCTTTTTGACTCACATTAGGGCCTAACGAAAACAAATTCATTGTAATGATTCCATCTGTTCTCTTCGAAATCGATTCCGGGTTTCAGAGGCTCATTACCACTTCCAGATGTTCCGGATCCAGCGGCAGCCACGCAGTGGAATCCAGCTTCTTGGAGATTATCAAATGCTTGTTCCAAAAAGTTGTGCTTGAGGAAGAATCGAGCAGTGTACCTGTTTTCGTTAACTCTGTCTGGATCCCTTGATTCATTCAAAGTGTCTCCAAACACCTCTCGACATAATGTAACGCGTCCACAAACGAGTATCCTGGTCAGTTTCCTGAATTTGACATCAGCCAATCCGTCACGTCCAAAGGCAAAGGATCCCCGGTAACCGACGGTCAAGTAACCAGGCTGTCCGCGCATCCCTCCTGGAGAAGTGGGAGTGGTCACGGAAGACATCCTGGGGATTGGAGAAATGACTTGTTTATTGGAAGTCAAAGAGTCCACACAAGATATCATATCAACCATATTGAAGTATTCCGCCTCGTTTTTCAGGCGTTCTCGCTCATGGAAATTTTCTGGTAGTACAAGCTTCTGATTCCGAAGGAAATCTAGAATGTATCGAAAGAGAACACCATCTCGGTCAACGAAGTATCGGCCTTTTGAATCCTTGCCAATGCTTTCCTTACCGGTAAAGATTTGACCAAGCAGGGATTTGGTGTCCTTTGTCAAGGTGCTCAGAGAAGTCGTGTAGAGAACACCTCCGACATTCAACTCGACCACGGATGGGAAATCGTCGCTGCCTTCGGATTCCATGCTCCGCCAAACGCAAGTCTGTAAGAAAGGAACAGAAAAAGCTAATTACAAATTTTGAACGCTTAGAAAATATTTAAAAATATTATTAAGTAAATCTTTGTACATTGTGCTACCTTCCATCTTTTTAAAACTAAATTGCCGCATAATAAGAAAATAGGAAACATTGCTTAAATTCATAAAGGACAACGAATCTTTATACGTAAAAAATCATTTTTTAAACGTTTATCAATCCAGATTGAGAGGTATTTGCAAATCAGTTATACACCTTTATACTTATTTTTGACATTGCATTTGTTCCAGTTGCAAACATATCTGTGGTAAACATATCCTTCAGAAATAGGTGAAATTTTCATTAACAAAATTTTTATATCTGATACATTAGATCATTTACACTTCACTTAAGAGAGTTTAAAATATAGTCATCTGTTAATTTATTTATGCATTTTCAGTATTTTTGTTGCTTTACATAGCTCAAAATATAAACAAAAATGGAATACAGAAAACTCCATTTTGCGCAAATTCGATAGCCGAAATAAGTGAAAAAATACCATTTCTAGCTTAACACGAACAACGTTATGTTTTTGCAGTACGCATTTTTTTTATTTGGTAATAATATTAAAATATGCAAAGAAAAAAGTAGTTGTTGAATTTAGATTCATTATGCAAAAGTCGAGAGTTTCTAGTAAAATCTTAAAAGCACTTATTTTGAATGACAGTTTAATTTAAAAAAATACTATTTTGTTTTAAGATAATTTTAAACATGACGTCAAATTTTTAATAAATGGTAATATTTACATTTTTGCAGTAATTTTAATAAAAACGAGAGCTAACTCGTTAAGAAATGCAATGTCAGTTCTCATCAACAAAAACTTAAAAAAAAAAAAGTTCACTTAGATTTTGAGACCTAACAGTTTCAAGTTAAAAGTAAATCAGAGTGTAAGAAGATATTAGCTAGGAAATTTGAACTAAGTTTCAGTTTCATTCATTGATCGTGCTCTGGGTGTGTGATCATGATTAGGAAGACTCATTATAGGAAATTTAGTCCACACAAAGTCTGTAAGAAGTCATTATTAGCAATCTCAAACTGTATAAGAAAGTGTTATTCAAGCAGCTTTGTTTTACTATTTTTTTACTATTTTACTATTTTTTTTGCAAAAATATATTTCATTCAAATGTTTAAACATTAAATAAAAATTAAAATAACTAGTTTTGTTTAGCTTTTATGATATATATAATCTTTAGCATTAAATAATGAAGAATCTGTATACTCCACAGCAGTCGTCTCGGAGACTACCTGTATGTCAATATAAAAAACTTTATTTATAACAATTCATTTGAAACAAAGAATTTATATTTTAATATATGTTGTATGTCCGAAGTCAATAACTTTCTGTTAGCTTTTGGCATACTTCGGGATTTTTTGATAAATATTTGAGGAATGTATTTTTTATTGTAAAAGATATAAAGTGCTCAGGAAATTGAAATGAAACCGCGTTATTCAGCTTTGAAGGAAGAAATGATTTTGCATTTTATTTAACGGAAATAAAAATATTTTATCTTTTTTATTTCCGTTCAATAAAAATGGAAAATCATTAAAATGCATCATTTCGTTAAATAAAATGTAAGTTTGTATATCTTCGTTGCAAAAAATAAATAAATAAATAAATAAATAAATAAAAGAGTTACAAATAAAAAAAAATTAATAAATAAAATATTTTCACTTGCATTACAGTTATAAAGAGTTAGAGATGTCCCTTCCAAGTGTTCGTGAATATTATAACAGGCTATCTAGATACAAAACGGAAGTGGAGGGTTGAATTCCCTTATTGAAACTAGGCTGATGTTTAAAGATTTCTGCTTCAAGAAGACAAACTGGCTCTCGCCTCTTACAAGCACTTCGGAGAAAATAAAAGGAACAGCATATCCAACTAGCATTTAAAAAGTCTCGGGTTCAGCTCGCGACGAGGGTATGGTTGTGCTTTTAATGCTTTTGCTCACGCAGACACATCACACACTTTAAAAAGACTGAATAAAATGGCTACCCGAACCAAAATATGGTAAACTGGTAGTCGATAGCTCATCGCTAGGTTGATTTGGCTGACTTCTTCCTTCTAGTTGCTTTCCTTTAAAGAGCGGTGGGATACAGAGGATTAAAGAAAAGATTAGTGATTCTATCATAAGAAATTCTTGTGGTGAAGCGATTAACACATCCAACTACCAACTAGAAGATTCGGTTTGATTCCTGGAAGGATACAGTTACATTTTTCAGATTTCATACCCCCAAAAAGTCAAATGGCTCCCATAGTAAATACATACTATTTGGCTCACAGACAGCAATGTATTCAATTTTCTTGATATGTCGAATATCCGAATGCATTATATTTCTAGTTAGTCTGCGAATAACTGAAATTCTATTATGCTCATAAACCTTTTATTTTTTTATTTTCGGAATTACTTTCGAGCTGCGTTGAACAACAGATAAGCGGATACGGAAGTATATTCTGTCGTAAGTTTTGTAAATTTCCAAAGCGTTTAGTTATGCAAGTATCTTCGTGGATTGTTTATGTTACCTGTCAATAATTATTTTATTACTCCACAGTGTTAAAATTTTTTTTATCGTCATGCTAGATAAACTCATATTTCCTGCATCTTTCGGCACTCCTTTTTCCTGGCATTGAAAATTAACTGAACAAGAAGTCTATCAGCCGTTACAATAATAGACGGACAGTTTAACAGAATGTCAGTATTGAGCAATCATAGCGACTGCTCGATGGCTGAAGTTCTCTTCTTTCTAAGTATGGATAGATAGCATTATACGTTTCATACTATTATGCGTTCTTCCATACTGCTGCTGCAGAAGTGTGAATTTAAGTACTATCTTACTACCATAAAACTTTCACTAATTAATACATGTCTTTATTTTATAAAAACAATTCTATGTATAAGGAGAGTTCTATGTAATTATGAATAAAATCTAACTTTCCGTATGTTCCTCATAAAGTAAAATTTTCATAAAGTAAAAAAAAAAGGATAACGTGAGCATTTTGCTTAAAGTAGTTAAAATTTTAAACCTGAAAGAGCAAACTTTGCTAACACGTGTTGTATAATACCTTCAAAGGGAATTTAGAAGTTCAATAAAGAAAGCTGTTTCACCTTATACCGCTAATATCTAAAATAAACAGTTTGTGCTTAACGATTATGTGGTCAGACTTTCCGGATTGTATGGAACTATGGAATAGTCTCGCATTTCAATGCACTGTCCCGCTTCAGAATATGTCTGGAAAAATGCCCGTATCCTGTAAATATTTCCTGGACTTCGTAAATATAGTTGACATGAATTTATTCCTCCATACGATTATAAAAATATTTTTATGCGATAAGAAATTTTTTAAATAATGAAATAATGGTGGCAATCAGATCTGTTTTAAGGAATTGGAAAGGTACGAAAAAGGACTGGTTTGCGAAAACATGTCTGGATTTTTATTTCATTTACGTTTCCTTACCGTGGGCAGGCAGTAAATTTAAATGGTATAAACAATTTTAAATGGATAACCCTTTGAAAATATCTTAGAATGTAAACAATCAGTAGGGACGCTTAATTTCAGGAAGAAAATATTGTAGTTATTCAGTGAAATATTACAGTAGACGGATGTGACATAATTGAAAATAAAATACAAGCAATTCCTGAGTAACTGAGAGCTTTTATCAGAGTTAGGGACTAACCAGACTTCATATGGTTAGTCCATATTTATTTTATACTGTTAAATTTTATTTTTATACTGTTAAATTATAAGCCGAAAGGGCTTTAGCCTAGAAGGGCTATTAATTTCATTTTGGCATTTTGCGTTGAAAACTTAAATGCGTTGAATCACTTTTGAAATTGTCGCCACACAAATATTATACCCTGTATTATATTTAAAGAAATTAAATAATGAAGAATCTGCATAAATGTATGTATGTTTTTCGCATTGTGATAAAACAATGGTATAAAATAATATAATAGAACTGTCAAGATTTCATATTATACTGGTTTAAGAAACACTATTTAATTCAAATCACATCCAATTTCACCAAGATAAAAGAACATTCGAATCAGGTTAATATAGTTTGTGAATTCTAGATTAACTACAGAATGCAAATTTGGCAAACTTAGTTATAGTTCAGAAGAGCACTGGTTGTCAAGTATAAAAAATTGCTAAACAACTGGTTTTTTTAATCAAGATTATTTCCCTTTATTTACTCATCAACAACAAATATTAGCTGCGAAAGTAACTACACAATAATTTTAAAATTAATCGTAAAATCATAAATTAATGAAATTGAAACTTAATTAAATCGAAGGACAATGTTTCCATGTACGACTCCAGCTAGAAGATAACTTTTCCTTAAGTTGCGTACACGACAAAACTTTGAAGAATTCGTGCCAAAAAAATACCAGTAGCTAACCAGAAGATAATAAAAATATCAATAAATAACAATGAAAGTGCATTTGATATTTAATAAGTTTTAGATTGTGTTCTATATCGTTATATACGCTACTTCTGTTACCCTTGTGAGAAACTAATACCAAGTAGGCATCAAATATCTTCTCTTGAGTAAGTCAGAAAGTTTCATTTTAAAAGAAAACACATAATTTATTCAACAGAAATCAAAGACAACATATATGTGTGGGCGGCATTAGCACGGTTTTCCTTAAAAGAATTCAGATATCCTATTTCACTTTTACTTTTGTCTAAGGTCGGTCTAGGAAGAATTCCGCAAGGTTTCTGTCCTCTTGTATTCTCCACTGTTGCCATTCGTTCTACAGTTAAACAATAAAGTGTTTTTGACCATGTCGGAATAACAGCGAATAAATTTTTTTATTATTAATTAACAAACTCATTAATTTACATCTTCTCAAAATTTAGATAAGTAATGCGCAGATAAATGACTATAATTAGAATATTTTTTCGTAACTAATGCTGATTCATGCAAATTAAAACAGTGCCTTTTAGTGTCTGTGAAAAGTGTTTATAAGA